ATATATATATATATATATATATATATATATATAGTTACATTTTAGTAAGTATTTAAAAAATTACAAAGTATCTATTATATGATCAGAAAATTACAAGGAAATTAAGATCTTCAAAGAAAGATTATCAAACAATTGGAATAACATTTGTGACAAGAAGCAATTCAGAAGATATATCAGAAAAAATAAAGAAAACAGTTACGAAAATGAATAAATTAAAGCTCCCTCCGGTTTATACTTATTAAAAAATGCATACCCTACCAAGAAAAAGATTGAGGTACCAGACTAAGGAAAAATAAAATTGTCGTATACAACGACAACAATGAATAAAATATTTTATAATGGATAAGTACATGAATGTATCAAGATTCCATACATCTAAACTTTTATCAATAACTTATATTACTGTATACAGGTATAAGATTGGAATTCTCACGAAAATGTCAATTCACGGAATACATCATTCCGGGTTTATTATTACAATAATGATATTACATATTCGAAGGGAAAATTCGATAAAAATATCGCAAGCTATAGACATTATAAAATCCATATCTCCTCAGCTAATCCCTGATTGACGCCAACACGCAATACGTATATTAAAGGAGCACACAAAAATCATTTCAAAACGTTACACACAAATTACATAGTTGATCATGTTGTTGTTCATATTAGATTAATGCAATTGTGAAAATTATTTTAAAAAAGAAAAGAGACGTTTGTTTTACGTTGAGAAATTAAAGAATATTTAAAGAATATTTTGTATAAAGGGTATGGACGCGCTGAAATTTACACTCGTAATTCTCACAATCGCTGGATGTTGGCGACCGTTCTCGTGGACGTCACTCAGAAAACATATATTATATAACGCCTATACGTTATTAGTAATTAGCCTTATGTATAGTTTCACATTCACGCAATTTATGGACATTGTCCTAAACGTCGATAATCCAGACGATTTTACTAATACTGCATACACGATGTTGGCCATATTCGCTGCATGCTACAAAATATTCAATCTATGGATGAATCATGAGAGTTTTGCGGAGTTAATTCAAAATCTTACGGAAGGAACGTTTAAACCATTAGTACCTATCGAAATCGAAATTCGTCGAAAATTTGACAAGTTGATACAGTAAGTACAAATTATATCTTGACTTATACTTAATTTTGAAGAATTATTTGAATTATTTCAAGCAATAATAAAGTTTTGCTAATATAATAATTAAAATATTAAATTTATAAACATAAATTATTAAAGAAAGTTAAGAAAAGTTAGAAAATTATCAAATATTTTTTCTCAAAGACTTTTTCCCACAGATTGTTAATATTACTGACGTTAAAAATAATATGTGTTTATATATTTAAATTTTTTGTATTATTTGTATATTTTTAATAAATTTTGTATTTAGAGGTAAGAGAATATTTTTCTATTAAAATAAATTTCGTTTTGCGAGATAAAGGCAAAATTACTTTTTTTGTTTTGTAGGAATATTGCAATGTGTTATGTTATTTTGATTATGCTCACTTGCGCAGGCCATTTCGTGGTATCATTACTAACGAGTTTCAAAAAAAGGCAGTTAATACTTAGAGGGTGGATACCGTATGATTACTCGTCGTTCGTGCTATTTTGTCTTACATACACTCATCAATACGTAGGCGTGATATCCGCATCTCTTATTAATGTTGCTTGTGACAGTCTCATTATTGGTCTGTTATTGCATCTGTGCTGTCAAATTAAGATTTTACAGTATCGTTTTAAAGGTCTTATAACTGGTCAGAATACTCTGGATGATTGTATACGCCACCATCATCACATAATCGAGTTAGTCTTGTAAAAAAAATTTTTTTGTTAGATTTAATCTTAGAAAATTAATTAATTCTAAATTTGGTAAAATAATCCTAAAACTTTTCTTATTTATACGACATGTTTCAAAATCTTAAAAGTTGGATCTTCTATTATAATATTGTATTATTTCTATTGTAATTTACTTATTCCTATATGTATTTACACGGTTAATGTTATATTCATATTTGTTCTTGAATTGCGATGTTAAATTTATTATCTTAATACTTTATGTTTTCTTTTAACTATTAATACATGGTGTTCTAAAAGAAAAAGTCATTATTCTAGGAGATGATGGTATCGGTCATTTTAAGCAAAGATGTCAATACAGTATTTTAAGCAAAGTTGTTCATACAAATATATGTCCTATTTTGTGTTTTCAAGATTTCCGAAAAATGTTTACATAAACGTATATCCCATTCTGAAAAATTTCCGAAATTATTGCAAAATTAAGAAAGAGATACTATATTTTCTAATAATTCATTGTTTGAAAGACAAATTTTAAAGTTTTTAAAATATCGATTGACAGGATCTAACATTTTCAAACTAAACACATTGAAATCAGCGCCTTATAGATCACAGTAAGATGTTGAACTACTGATTTAATATACATTCAATAAAATTCAATCAATTTTATTGAATGTATATTAAATCAGTAGTTCAACATCTTACTGTGATCTATAAGGCGCTGATTTCAATGTGTTTAGTTTTTAAAATATTTTTAACAACTTTATTGTTTAAATTATTTTTAAAACCATTAGGAATAGAGCACACGTCATGTTTGGCTATGAGTATGAATATTTTATTTAAAATGACCATTACCTCAAAGTATATTAATCTTTCTTCGTGCAACATATATTAAGTAACACATAATGACTTATTTTTTAATTTTTTAAGACGATTAGTTTTAATGCTTAGGATAAAAATATTTTCTTTGCAGATTTGCATACACGACTAACGAGAGATTCACGAGAATCATCGCGGTTCAATTTGTAGCAAGTACATTGGTAGTCTGTTCAAACTTGTATCAATTAACTAGGGCAAAATTAATAGTAGATTTAATTATCCTTTTTGCATACACAATTTGTGTACTTGTGCAAATTTTTATTTATTGCTGGTTTGGAAATAAACTCAAACTGATGGTATGCATTTTACGCAAATTATATTGTACATGTTTATATGTATAAGCACAATATATGTATATATATTATTATTATGTCTTTTATAAAAAAAAGCTTAGAAGTAAAAAGCTTAGAAGTAAAAAGCTTAGAAGTAAAAAGCTTAGAAGTAAAAAGCTTAGAAGTAAAACATTTAAATATTATAAATTTATAGAGCCTTCAATTGATCGATAGTATTTTCGAAATAGAATGGATAGCATTGGACCATAAAACTAAAAAGAGTCTTTTGATAATTATGATTTGCGCAATGAAACCTATTGAATTTCACAGTGCACACATTTTTAACATGAATTTAGATTCTTTTGTAGCGGTGAGTATAAAAATATAGTAAAAAGTATAAAAAAGTAAAATTTTATAAAATGGTACGAAATATAATTTTTAAAGACTTGTCGCACTTTTCAATAAATCTCATTGTCAGCTAATTCTCTCTCATTCTCGCTTTCGTGCAATATCTATTTCTCATTCCCTTTTTTATCCATTAGGTAAATTAACGACATACTTTATCCGAAAGTAGAATAACCGTTAACTAAAAAATTTTTATCTTTTTAACTTTTTGATTAAGACTTCCAAAATAATACTTCAATAAAAATATTTTTCTCTATAATGTATTATACAATACATGTTATTACAAATAACACCATGATTAATAATTACAAATCATAATATAACAATTTGTAATAATAAATTTTAATTATACAGATAGTTACCTTTCTTAAAGACTTTTAAACAGTTTGAATATATTTATAATTATTACAGTTGCTTAAAACGTCATATTCTGCTTACAATTTGCTAACCCAAATACAGGAATAACAGTACAAAGGCAAGTAAAAAATTGCAAAAATTTATTATTAATGCTTAATTTAATTATAACGGTAATGTATAAATAAGCTAGTAAAATGCTGATTAACAATAAATATTAAATATTATTATCTACAAAAAATGTAAATAATTGTTGTTCTAATTAAGATAAGACTGAAAAAATAATATTCTGGCAATTAATAACGACTATTTTCTTTTAAACATTTTGTATTTTATATTAGAATATATTTAAAATATGTAATAAAATATGAAACATTTATTTCTGAATAATTGTTTAATATTTTTATATACAGGATAATACTGGAGAATCTAAAATATATAATACATTTCTATTTCTAGTAGAAAAAAATTACACATTATATTATAATTTAAATACATTATTGCAAATAAAAAAAAGGTGACGTCATAGAGATATTATTAAGAAAATTAATTTTTTGTTTGACAATAAATGTCTTATAAATTGTCGTATAAATGTGTTTTATGAATGTTACTCGTTCGCTTGATTATGTTGCGTGAGTATAAATCAATACTAGATGATACATCAAATTCTAAATGTGAAGAATAATAAAACAAGTGTTTTGTGTATTAAAAATAAATAGTGTACTTCAACATTATGAAGATTACTCATATCTCATATCGTATTGATAAATTTTAAGTGTTATCTTTTTCCTACTGTATTACAAATTTACTCATTTTTTAGATGTAGAAATGAAAGAAGTACATTTTTTGCAATAAAAATTGATCACTTATTAACTATCTTACATAAATATATTTTATTATAAACAATCATTACAAGTTTGATATTATTCTTAACAGATTTTGTTAAAACTTTATTACGAAAATACAGATATTAAATGTATAGAAAAAAAAAGACAAAATATCGTCAGACAAAGCATTATGCCAAAGAATTATGTCATATGTCTAGATATAATACACCTTCTTGAAATTATATTTTATATATTTTCACGTGTGATGATCATTTTTAGAATAAAATCATTTTGAGTTAAAATCACTAAAAAGTTCTATACTTCACTGAAAAAAAAAGATTGGTTGCTGCAACAATTTAGATAGTAAAATAAATATGATATAAATATGATAAATAACACTGAAAGAAAAGATATATATATATATATATATCTTTTTCTTTTGATCAAACACTATTATATATAATATGAAATTGACGTGTACAATTTTTATGATCGGTGGCTGTTTGCAACCGCAATCATGGAGACATCTTTTTTTGAATTGATAATTTACAATATTTACAGATTTTATATAATTAGCATTAGTTAATACGATGTTATATACCTTCACACAAATAATAAACTCTTATGATGAACGTTAATGATCTTAACGACTTCATTAATTATTTGAATTGTATAATGTTAAATATTTCGACTAAGTGTTATAAAATTTTTATCACCATGTTAAGTTCCAAAAGCGTTGCTACATTAGTTAATTATCTTATTAAAAAAAATCACTTAAATTCGAGTGTAACTTTTGTTTTGAGATAATTTAATTTTTTAACTATGTAATATAACTTATGTGAGATTTAAATATAGGATTTTTCTAAACTACAAAACCTCTGACTGTGAAATTATATATTTATAAGAATACATATGTATATGATTTCATTATCATATTAATTATACGTATACAGGTATGAATTCATTGTTATAGACAGAAATTTTTATCTTATTAGAAGAACCCTATATTTAGTTCTTTATACTACTTTAAAAAGGAAAATATTAAAATAAATAAAATTTATAGAAAAATTTAATATATTCGTGACTTCTGATCAGAATTTTAAGATATCAGTAGAAAAACTAAAAGAATATTTAGGCACATAACTTTTACCTTCATTAAAATTGAAGATAAATAGAAGCAGATATCATCAATGGCAATTTGTAAGCGGACAGCAAAAATCCATTATTTATTCCACTATCTCGTTTTTTATATGAGAATAGCTTATTATGTTGGCTCATTATGGCGCATAAGATACTACAGTCAAAAGATTCCCCACTAAAACCTCAATCTGAAATTAAAAAAATATATCTTATTAGTAAATGCGATGTTTCTACATAATAATAATGAATATTGAATAGTTTGTAAGCGGAAAAAGACACCGTCTATAGATATCTATAAAATGAAATGTTAAAGATTCTGGTATCATAAATACTGTCATTATCCGATTGGAATTTGATTGTACTTTTTTTTACAAAAATCTTATAAACTTATTTAAAAAAACATTGTAAAGTTAAAAAGTCCTGTAGAAATGATTATAACGAATAAATTATTTTGATTATTATCCAAATATCATACAATGTGTCACGTATTCACGTTGCAGAATTGAATACATTGAGGCTATCATGCTTTCCGCATTTATACTTAATAAAAAATGCATACAGATACCGAGAAAAAGACACGGAACGCCAGACTAAAGAAAACTGAAGTCGCAGACAACGACAATGAATAAAATATTTTATAATGGACGAGTACAACAATGTATCAAAATTTCTTATACTCGTATATCTGAACTATTGTTAATAACTATATTATATTATTATATATAGGTATAAGAATGGAATTCTCATGAAATCGTCAATTCACGGAAAATATTAGTCTAGGTTTGCTATTACGATGTTACATATTTGAGAGGAAAATTCAGTAAAAATATCGCGAGCTATAAACATTGTAAAATCCGTATCTCCTCAGCTAATTCGTCACTGACGACAATAACACGCAACACAAATATCAATGGAGCACACGAAGAGCATCTCAAAACGTTACAACACAAATTACATAGATCATGTTTTGTACATATCAGATTAATGCAATTGTGAACATTTTTTAAAAAAAGAAGCATTTTCTACGTTTAGATATTTAAAGACATTTTATTTGGAGGGTATGAACTCGCTAAAATTTACACTCGCGATTCTCACAATCGCTGGATGCTGGCGACCTTTTTCGTCGACTTCGCTGATAAAACATGCGTTATATGATGCCTATACATTATTAGTAATTAGTATCATGTACAGTTTTACATTTTCACAATTTATGGATGTTGTCCTGAACGTCGATAATCCAGATGATTTTACTAATACTTTATACGCGATGTTGACCATGTTTGCTGCCGACTATAAAATACTCGATCTGTTTGTGAATCATGAGAGTTTCGCGAAATTAATTCAAAATCTTACGGAAAGAACGTTTAAACCATTACTACTTGTTGAAATCGAAATTCAACGAAAATTCAACATGATAATACAGTAAGTACAAAAAAATTATGTCTTGATTTATATTTAGTTTATAATAACTACATAAAAAAATTGTAAATTTTATTTATAGTTTTGGAAAATACTAATTGTCATATTAATTTTATAAATATGGACTATCGTTAAGATAATTAAAAAAATAGAATATTATCAAAACATTCTTTTCCGAAGATGTTTGTCACATCGTCTTTTAATGTTATTTATATGATAAATGTTATGTGTATGTACAATTCAATTTTTTGTATATTTGTATTATTTATATATTTTTAATAAATTTTATATAAATTAATAAATTTTATATAAAGGCAGGAGAATTATTATTTACCGTTTCAATTAACAGATAACTAATAATTTTTGTTTTGAAATAGAGACAGCATTATTATTTTTCATATTTTTTAAGGAACATGACAAAGTGCTATACCATATTGATTATGATCACTTACACAGGCCATGTTTTGAGATCGTTACTGACAAATTTCAAAAAGGGGCAGTTAGCATTTAGAGGATGGATACCGTATGATTATTCATCGTTCGTGCTATTTTGTCTCACATACGCTCATCAATACGTAGGACTGATATTCGCATGCCTTGTTAGCGTTGCTTGTGACGGTCTCATTGTTGGTTTGTTATTGCATGTATGCTGTCAAATTACGATCTTACAATATCGTTTGAAGGGTCTTATAAATGGCCAAAATACTCTACGTGACTGCGTACGCCAACATCGTCACATAATCGAGTTAGTCTTTGTATGTGTTTTTGTGTGTTGTGTGTGAACATTTTATTAGACTTAACATGGAATATTTAATAATTGATTGTAAATATAGTAATATAATACTAAAATTTTTTTTATTTACATTTTCTTATTTACGTAATTTCAAATCTTAAAATATGCATAGTTAGGTAGTTAAAACTTTTATTAAAATATTATTCCTATTTATTCTAGTTATTATTTGTATAGTTATATTCATATTTTGTTCTTGAATTGCGATATTAAATTTATTATTTTAACAAATATTTTAATAAATATTTTTTTATTTTTTATTTTGATTATTAATATTAAATATTATGGAAGAGCTATTTTTTATATATCTCTAATTTTTTGAAGACATTTAATTTTAATGCTTGGGATAAAAATATTTTCTTTACAGATTCGCAAACGCGACTAACGAAAGATTTAGGAGGATAATTGCATTTCAATTCGTAGCAAGTACATTCGTAGTCTGCTCAAATTTGTATCAATTAACTAGAACTGAATTAATTGTAGATTTTATTGCGTTTTTTGCATATACAATGTGCGTACTTATACAAATTTTCATCTATTGCTGGTTTGGAAATAAACTGAAAGTTATGGTATGCATACTAATATTATCGTATTTGAAATTATTGTGTACGCATACATATATGCATAAACATGTGTATTATGTGTATGTATACATATATTAATTATCGTACGCTTTTCTATAAAGAACTTAGGAGTAAAATATGTAATATATTAAAATATGTCATAAATGTGTATAGAGTCTTCAACTGGTCGATAGTATTTTCGAAATAGAATGGATAGCATTGGACTGTAAAACTAGAAAAAGTCTTTTGATAATTATGATTCGCGCAATGAAACCTATTGAATTTAACAGTGCATACATTTTTAACATGAATTTAGATTCTTTTGTAGCGGTGAGTATAAAGTATAACATAAAAATTGAATTTTGTAGCGTATTATGAAGTACAGATTTTTTATGCTTATTCAATCTTTCAGTGACTCTCAGCTATTTACTCTCTCATTTTTGCTTTTGTTCAATCTTTTATTCTATCATTCGCTCTTTTTCTTAACCATTAAATAAAAAAAATATATATATATATAACCACATACTTTAATTCATTCAAAATTGGATCATCTATAGTTATTATAATAAAATTTCTGTCTTTTTTACCTAATGATAAAACTTTTTTTAAAGTAATATTTTTAAAACAGTATTTTTTTTTATATTATATGCATTAGAAGTAAGATTATAATAAGTAATCATGAACAGGAATCAACAATATTTAAAATGTAAATTTGAAATTATTTTTTTTTTAATTTTAAAATTTAAATATATTTATAATTATTGTAGCTGCTTAAAACATCATATTCTGCTTATAATTTGCTATCGCAAATACAGGAATAACAGTATAAAGGCAAGTTAAAAGTTACTGATATTAATGTGTAATTTGTTCATTTCCATAATAATGCATATTAATATATACATTAGTACTAGATGTCTTCTAATTAGTAATAAATGTTAAATATTTTTAACTGTAAAGAGGTAAATAATTGTTGCTCTAATTAAGATAAAACTAAAAAAATAATATTCTAGCAATTGATAACGACTGGTTCTTTTTAAATATTTTTAAATTTTTGGTATTTAATACCAGAATATATTAAAAATATGTAACCAAATAATGAAACAGTTACTTCTAAATAATATTGTTTTAATATTTTTATATACAGGATAATACTGGAGAATTTAAAATATATAATTTTATTTTAAATGATATTTATATTTTAAATGGAAAAAACTCCACATAATATTATTGTTTAATTACATTATCGCAAATACAAAACTGTGACGTCATAGAAATTTATATATTATTAAAAATATTAATTTTTTGTTTGACGATATATAGTCTTAATAATAAATGAGTTCTGAACACTCTTTTGCTTGATTATGTTGAGTATAAATAATACTCTATGATACGTTAAATTCTAAACGTGAAAGATAATAAAGAAAATGTTTGTGTATCGATAAATAGCGTATATCAAGACATTATGAAGATTAGTCATATTTCATATCATATTGATGAACATTTTAAGCGTTATATCTTTCCTACTGTATTACAAATTTACTCACTCTCTAAATGTAGAAATAAAAGAAATACATTTTCGCAATAAAAATTGATCACAGGCGTAATCTTATTAACTATCTTACGTAAATATGTTATATTGTAGACAATCATTGCAAGTTTTGATATTATTTTTAACAGACTATGTTAAAACTTTATTTTGAAGATTCAAATATTAAATGTATAGAAAAAAAGAGAGAAAATATCGTCGGCGAAAGTAAAATCGTGTTAAAGAATTGTGCAGTATTGTATAATTTATTCAATACTTATGCGATATTAAAAACTTCCTAAATATAAAATTTAGTTTTATTATAAATCCACTTTATTGTAAAACTCCATCCATCGATTTTAGGAATAAAATTTTCAGCTTATGAAAAACCACTGTAACAACAAAAAATTCTATAATTGATATAAGAAAATTAGTTGCAATTTATTTTGAAGAATCTTGTATAACGTTTTTTAATTTATTATTTAACATAGAGTGTTCAACTCATTGTTAATATCTTTGGAATGGAACAAAGATGCAAAACAGAAAACAGAATTTATTAATAACTATGAATTACTCATTAATATTTATTGAATTTTCTAGCGCATACATTCTTTCGATAACTTTGATTCTTTCATGATCGTGAGTATAACAAGTCTATTGTCACTAAACAATTAATTATGAATTAATAATAATATACATTTTATTAAAAATGTAATAGATACTTCAATTTTTATAATTCATACACTAAAAATTTATAACATTCATAACAAAATTTGATCTATCTTTTTAATCGTGTTAAATAACTGTATTACAAAAATTACATACTGTCCTTTTTATATAAGAGCTAATTTGTTCATAAATCTTTTTGGAGATTATAGTAATTATGTATTACACATATTTTATTATTTGGCAATATAATTTAATATTTTATAAAAATAGCAACTATAAAATAAATTTGAAAAAAGATTTATCTTTTTATTACAGTTACTTAAAACATCATACTCGGCTTATAGTATATTACAACAAATGTAAACAATACAAATAGAAGATAGTATGAGCTAGTTACAGAAGCTAGCGAACTATATTTTCTAATTAAGTTATCTGTATGTTATTAATTATTTAAGCTTCCTGTTATCTATAATATTATATAATGTTAATAAATAATTAAATAAGAATTATTGATTATTGTATGCGTCTTCTTTTTTATTAGAATTTTTTTTACAATCTTCTATAATTTCTACTGCTTTATTTTTATTTTTATTATTTATCTATTTAAAACACACACACACATTTTTACTTTATTTAATCTTCAATGAGAAAAATTTTTAATATAAAATTTTTTTGATACTTTTTCTCTCTTTTCTCTCCTTACTTTATATACATAATACGTGATTATTATTCTTCAAAGTAAATAAATAAAATGCAATTCTGTGCAATATGATATTTTGACTAGCTCAGAATTAACTAAAGGTAATACAGCATGTATATTTGCTTTACACATATATGTATATTTAATAAGCTCTTTTAACCGCTTGTATCCTGCCAGAATTATCGATTAATATGAGTAACAGAATTAACGATGACAGCCAGATGTGAGGTGGAACTGACGACACTAACAAATTCCATATTTTTTGTATGTAAGTATAGATTATTTACATCAAAATTTTATGGTGACACACCTTAATTTATGGTCTAAGAGTTTTGTTGTCGACAAGTTTTTTTTCCGTTAGACCATTTTAATGTATTACCTAACAGTTTATATAAAGGTCGCAAAAAAGACACACAGCTATGCATATTATTTTACCAAAGTATTATTACCAGTCGGAATATATTACAAGTTACGTATGCATATAATTATCATGATAGCATGTATAGCTCTCCGCCATGGGCTACAAAGAGACGAACAATGAATGCAGAAAGTAACGTTGCGTGTCTATAGACATTGTAAGATTTGTCGAAGTTCCGCAAAATTGTTTTTAAATCAATGTATAATGTTTACTTGAAATTGCTTAATATTTTTTATCTTTGTAAGTTATTTATATTATTGAATATTATTTTCTAAAGTTAATAAATCAAATGCAATTCTGCACAATATTTATTTTGTTTACACAATATCCATTGAATAAATTAGTTAATTATGCAAGTCATTGAAGTTTATTCAATTATCAATTTTAGATTTACAATATAAAATGTTGCATGTAACAAATTATTGTAAAAATAGGTCCACTACGTTACACTATACTACATACATTCATACACAGTACTTCATCAAAATAAACGTATTCTACGATTGTAGAAACGGGTAATTGAGTTTGGCATCCTTATTTCACGTGAAAAATAATACGACTAATCCATGTGTCTAATTTGACAACGGTTGGTCGCGACTAACTACAAAAATCGCTATATAATTATAAGTATCCTTTTAACCTTCAGTGTCCCTCAGAATTAATCGAGCCAACGAGAAGAAAGCGAACGAAGTCGATTTTTCCAGTGAACGATACGAAGCTTAGTGTTCATATAAAGGCAAGACTGATATCTCGTATAAGTATTTAAATCATCCACAATAAAAACAGTGTTAAACATATCTGGATTATTTTGTCTTCTACACAACAATAAACATATTTTACGTTTATTAAAGATAAAAAAAAAATATATATATATATATATATAAAATTAAAATATAAAAATAAAATCTAAATTATACAATGTCATTATAATTTTCGTATAAATATTTTAAACTGTTCTTTGAAATAGAAGCATCTAAGTTTATTTATTTAAAAAATTTTAGCTTATGCATATAATATTTTCTGTATCTTTCATAATTACATCACATAATTATGTCTCTTGTATAATACATATACAATAGTATATATATTATATATAGATATAATAAGTGTTTTATTTTAAACTAGAGAGCGAATAAAAGATATTTCAAGAAATGCAAGTTATGCAATTTCCACTTAAAATCCTTACGGTAGCAGGATGCCGGCCACCAGTCTCCTGGTCTTCATTATGGAAACGGACAGTGTATAATGTATATACAATTTTTGTATGTTTACTACTGCTTACTTTCATGTTGCCACAACTCATGGATATTATCCTGAATGTTAATAATGCGGACGATTTTACGGATACTTTTTATATAATGCTTGCCATGATTATCGCTTGCTGCAAGATGCTCAGTCTATTGCTAAATCGCAAGAATATCGAGATATTAACTGGCGCATTGGTTGAGAAACCATTTAGACCTTTGGAACCAGATGAAATTGAGATTCGACAAAAATATAATAACATAATACGGTAAGAAGTTGCTTTTATATAAAGAATAAAAAGATCCGTATATTTTAATTTTATTTTCTCATGGTTTCCTTTATATTAGTTCTAACACATAATTATTAACGTTACATATTTATATAATTATTTTGCATTTTTTAAATTTAATTGGCAAAAACGACAAATACAAGATACGATTTTTATTAATAAAATAAGTAATAAATGAAAATCTTTTTGTTATTTTATGAAAGAAGTAGAAAATATATTTTTTTCTTTCTTTTTAATTAAAGGAGAAAAATACAAAACAAAGTCATCGTGAATTAGTTCAGCCTTCAGTCATTTTGCAGGACCAATTCTATAATCTATACGGTACTTATTGAGGTAACGTGCGGCAGCATGAATTTAACGTCTTTGTTTACGGATTTTCGGCAAGGAAATTTAGCGTATAGAGAATGGATACTTTTCGAATGGTCCGATACAGTGTATTATCTCATATACTTTCGTCAATTAATGAGCTTAACGGCTGCGTCGATCGTGAATGTTGCTTGCGATATAATGATTTGTGGATTGCTGCTACATATTTACTGCCAAATCGAAATCTTAGAGTGCCGTGTGAGAAAATCGTTACGCAATCGAGGCGACTTGGGTGAATGTGTGCGTCAGCACGATCATATCTACAAGTTAGTCTTTATATAGAATTTTATTTGCTTAAATGTTTCTCTTAATTAATCTTAAGGTAAAGAGTACACAACGTTGCGTGCGCGCGCACGAATACACATACACAGAACTTTATTTATATTTTATTTGTAATTATGCGTGTTTAAATGTTAAATTTTGTTTATTAATTAGATAACAATTGTTTAATTCAATTCAAAATATTGTAATATTTAATTAGTTATGAGCAATAATAATCATTTCAAGGGTAATATTACTCTTTTTTTCTAGATTTGCATACACGATGAATGAAAAGTTCAGATTTATAATTGCCGTTCAATTCATTGCAAGTATGCTAGTAGTATGTTCCAATCTATATCGATTAGCGAAAACCACGTTGAGTTCAAAATATATTCCATTGATGTTATACACAATCTGTATGTGTTTGCAAATTCTTATTTATTGTTGGTGCGGGAACGAAGTGAAATTAAAGGTACTGATTTTGTGTACATATATCGAATGCATTTAATAAAAAAATGTTGATAACAGAATCTCAGCATTACATCAATAGTAATAAATAAGAAATATAATTTTTAATTTAAATTTAACATTTATATTGATATATAATACATTAAATATTACTTACAGTTGCAATAAGAAATATTACATATAACTGTATTACATGTAACTGTATTTATTTGATAACTTCTATTGTAGAGCATTCAATTTTCCGATGAAATTTTTGGAATGGATTGGATAACAGCACATCAAAAAGTAAGAGAAAATCTTATAATGATTATGAATCGCTCTCTGATACCAATCGAATTTTCTAGTGCCCATATTCTTACGGTGAATCTAGATTCATTCGTGAAGGTTAGAGATTAATTTGTTATAACTGTAAAATTGTGCGGCACATGATACCCGTTTTCTTGTTGAATTGCTAGATGGATTAAATTCTTGCCATCGTATTGTTTGCGATGCTGATACTGTCAATATTGCAGCCAATACAATAGCAAGAATCTAATTTAGTTAAGAATTTAGTGAAAAAACAAGCGTCTTGTGCCGCCGGTTTATTAAGAAACAATTTAGTTAAAAAATGTTACGTTAATATTGATATATTCTTTAGCTTCTTAAAATGTCGTATTCAGTATATAATATACTTAAACAGACAAAAGAAGAATAGTGATAATGGCTAAGAAAGGATAAAAAGTAATTAAAATATAAGTATCAAGGAACATTAAGTGTAAAAATGTCTGCGATAGTAATTGTAGTTATTTGTGCAATTGCAAGTTTCAAATGTTACGTACATAAATAAACAAATTTTACTTATGTATATTTTTTTGATATTACGCTTTTCATTTGTTTTTTATCATAAAAATTGGAGACTATTATTAAATATACTCAAATGCATATAGAGTTAGATTTCGTACGTATTTAAAAAATTACAAAGTATATACGATCAGAAAATTAGGATCTTCAAAAAAAGGTTATCAAACAAATTGGAATAACGTTTGTGTACAAAAAGCAATTCAAAAGATGTATTAATAAAAATAAAGGAAACAGTTGTGAAAATGAATAAATGAAAGCCCTTGCTTTCTGGTTTATATATTAAAAAATGCATACACATACCGAGAAAAAGATTAAGATACCAGACTAAAGAAAAATAAAACTGTCGTATATAGCGACAACAATGAATAAAATATTTTATAATGGATAAGTACAATATAATTGATAAATAGCATACATCAAGACATTATGATGATTAATCATATTTCATATCATTGACGAATGTTTTAAGCGTTATCTTTTTCCTACTGTATTATAAATTCACTCACTCTCTAGATGTAGAAATAAAAGAAGCACATTTTTTGTAATAAAAATTGATCACAGGCATAATCTTATTAACCACTTCACGTAAATATATTATAAACAATCATTACAAGTTCGATATATTATTCTTAACAGATTTTGTTAAAACTTTATTTCAAAGATTCAGATATTAAATGTGTAGAAGAAAAGATAGAAAATATTGTCAACGAAAGTAAAGTCGTGTCAAAGAATTGTGTCTTATATCTATAGATATCATAATACACTTTCTTAAAATCAGATTTTATATCTTTTAATGTAATAATTATTTTTTTCAGAATAAAATTATTTTTAGAGCAGTTAAAATCGTTAAAAAGTTCTATACTCATTTATCAGTATCATTAAGATACATTATATAAATATATTTATCTATATACCTTTTTCTTCTAATCGAACACTATTACGCACATTATGAAATTGACGTGTACAATTTTTATGATCGCGGGCTGTTTCCAACCGCAATCATGGAGACATTTTTGTTCAAACTGATAATTTATAATACTTACAGATTATACGTAATTAGCACTAGTTAATACGATGTTATATACTCACGCAAATAATGGTCTTTGTGATAAACGTTAAACGATCCTTTAAACGACTTTACTAATTATTTGAATTGTATGATGTCAAATATTTCGATTTAGTGTCATAAAATTTTTATCATCTTGTTAAGTTTCAAAAGCGTTGTTTATACATTAGTTAATTATCATATTAAAAAACCACTTAAAGTATTAAATTCAAGTGTAACTTTTGCTTGGAGATAATTTTATTTTTTAACTGTGTAATGTAACTTATGTGAGATTATAAATACAGGATTTTTCTAAACTAACAAAACCGTGAAATCACATATTTATAAGAATCCATATGTATATGACTTTATTGTCACATTAATTATACGTATATGATTTCGTTATTATAGTCGGAAATTTTTATCTTAGAAGAACCCTGTATTTAGTTCTTTATACTTTATATTTTATGGTTAAAAAGTAAAATATTAAAATAAACAAAATTTATAAAAAGGTTTAATATATTCGTGACTTTTGATCAAAATTTTAAGATAACAATAGAAAAACTAAAAGAATATTTAAATAGATAACATTTACCTTCATTCAAATTAGAGATAAATGGAGACAGATATCATCAATAGCAATTTATGAGCGGAATTCAGCATTTATCTCAATATCTCGTTTTTCATAAACATAGTTTTTTATGAAAATAGTAGCTTATTATGTTGGCTCATTATAGCACATAAGACACTACAAATAAAAGATTCCCTATGAATTT